TATATATGTATATATATGTATATGTATATATATGTATATATATGTATATGTATATGTATATATGTATATGTATATGTATATGTGTATATGTATGTGTATATGTATATGTATATGTATATATATACCTGCTGGATGAGACCAACCTGTTTACTGTTATATATTCAATTTCTATCAGTTTGATAAATACAGAAAACTCCTGATGTTCCTGAAGAGACAAAGATTGTTTAAATAAAGGTTTGTCTTCCGTCATCATCATGTGAGTCTTTGTTTGACCTCCGGGTTGTAACGTGTTCTAAGGTCGCAGCTCCAGTAACACTACATTTCCCACAATGCAACTGGACAGTTCAATAAAAGGTTTCTGAAGCTCAGAAACAGAAGCTTTAAAAACACAAATGTGTCATTCCTGCTCTCCAGAGGAAGAACCCTTTAATGAATCCATGTTTCCTCATGTCCACAGCTTTGTGTGTGTATGTGTGTGTGTGTGTGTGAATGTGTGTGTGAGGGTGTGTGTGTGTGTCGAACACGTCTAACAGGACAGCAGCAGTTTAGACTTCCTGCGTCTATTTAAACCTCATGACCAGGAGAGAGAGAGTGTGTGTTTGTGTGTGTGTGAGTGTGTGTGTGCGTGTGTGAATATTTGTCCCATGATGTCAGTGTGAAGAGAAACAACGGGAAAACTGTGTGGAGACGACACACACACACACACACACACACACACACACACACTCTCTCTCTCCCGATCATGAGGTATAAAAAGACGCAGGACCTCTACTACGGGTGTTCGACACACACACACACCTTTGTGTCTACAGATGGTACGGTCTGCCCTGCTGTCAGTTTGAGTTTGTGGAGCTCGGAGGAAAAAATTTGTTTGAGGAAGTTTAATGGTGAACGAGTCGGTGGTAAAAGTACAGATACTTATGTACTGTACTGTAGTACAACTACTGAATCTGCAGAGTGAGATGTAGTAGTACAAAGTAGAAAAAACACAGTACTTGGAGTAGAAGTACTGAGTTAGTTTCCACCTCTAGAAATGAACAGATCCATTGAGACGTTTTCTCTGAAACATGAAGCGACTTGTTTCTGCCCACATTCTTCTTTTATCATCTGAAACGTGTTGAAGAAAGTTTAACCGTTCATGTCTCAGAGAAGGAGCTCCTCTCTGCCTGATCAACAATAAAGAATTCCTAAAGAATAAATGAGTCATTAATAATCATGAGTCACACCTCACCTGAGTGTGTGTGTGTGTGTGTGAATGTGTGTGTGTGTGTGTGTATGCGTGTGAGTTCACTTTGACGTCTCAGGATCAGTTTGTTTCATCTGAATACAAGAACAAAACAACTCTTTAATTTAAACTTTACAAGCCTCAGTGAAAATGTGTGTGTGTGTGAGTGTGTGTGTGCGTGTGTCTGTGTGTGTGTGTGAGTGTGTGTTTGGACCACACCCAGTGTTTAGTCAGACTTAATGTGTTCACTGTGCTTCTCACAGAGAGTGTTCTTGTTCTTCTATCGTTATGAGGACCAAGTGTGAGTCTGAGGACATTGTTTTGGAGATTTTATATTTATTTTTCTGTTATTTAATTATTTATTTATTTATTAACCTCCATGTGGTGACAAGTGGAATGTTAAAGATCACAGAAAAGACAAGAAAAAATGTAAAATCAAATCACGAAAACATTCCACATAATTAAGTTTAATAAATAATTTCAAATCAGGTAGATTCATAAAAAATGTGTCTTTAACTTGGTTATTTTTTGTCTCCACAGATCAAACTGAAGCCGTCGTCACAGTTTGGACATCAAAACACAAACTTTTGGTTTTACTCTATTTTTCATTATTATTTTTCTACAGTGGACTTTTAACGGATTTTGGGATTCTGCCATTTTTCTCTATTTTTGCGTTGTTCACCGGATAGTTTTCGTTCTGAGGAGGGATTATTTTTTGAGAGTTTCTACGTGTTTTGTCTGAATGCCCCAGGATTATCCTCAGGCTGCAGTTCCTCCCCCGGCCTGCAGGGCGGCAGCAGTGAGCGGTGGCCGGCCGCTGGACCGACAGAGCGTCGGCATGAGTGACTTCTGGCACAAGATGGGCTGCTGCGTGGTGGCCAAACCACCGCCGGTGAGACACAGACACAATTTACCTTATCTTAACCTGAATGTCCTCATAAACCATGTCGAGGTCAGCGGTCCTCACACGGTTCGGTTCCTCTCCGAACCGTGTGGAGAGAAAATCATGCTCCTTCTTCGTCATAACTTAGTTGAATCTGAACATACAGACATGATTCATATATTTTTAGATTCAGTGCAACATACACTTCCCGATTAATGTGATGTCCATCGTGAATAAATGTCTATAAATCCACTTGAAAATCACAGTGAAAAGACTCTGCAGAACTCCATTGAGAATCTTCATGTTTTTAGGTTTTCTCTAGTATTACAGTAATCCAGTGATATTTATCTGTTCATCCATGAGTTCCCTGCACACAAGAGCCGATAAGAAATCATTCTGCATACTTTTCATGTCAACAAATGGAAGCTAAAATATTGTTGTAGCTCACATTCATTCATGCTTTTGAACTATATGTTTGTGAGCTGCAAAGACAACCTTCCTTCATTTCTATAGAAAATGTTTGATCCTAGTTTAGTTTTCAGGTATTTGTAGTTTAATATAATGTCCGTCTGAACGGTGATGGAAACCTTCAGACCTCATCAGGTTCAGTGAATCTCTCAACAGCTGGAGGTTACTCAAGAGGAAACAGGTGGCAGAACTTCCTCTTCCTGTTTCACTGTGACCTCTGACCCCCTGGAGGCCGACGCCCTGAGTGGTTTGTTTGTTGGGTTTGTTGTTTCTGTAACGTGTTCGTCAACGAGCTCCTGGTTAGTTTGTAAACTGTGTCGATTCCAGAATTTAAATAAATCCTCTTGTTGGACGTCACAGAGTCCAGAAATTTGGGAATCTTCCTTTAATCCTGAGCTGCTGCTGCTGTGTAACACAGATGTTACACAGATGTTACACCACAGCTGGAAGATTTTAAACTGTGGTTTTAATCAAAAGAGTGAGAGCTGATGACAGATTAGTAAGAACTGATCAGAGATCAGTGAGCTCACGATCAATCAATAAAACAGGTGAACGTCAAAGTAACTTTTACTACATAAGATAAATATAAAAAACGACATTCTAAATGGAGGAGTTGAGGAGTCTCACAGAGGAAAGAAGCTGATCTGAAGTCTGCTGTTCATCAGCTGATTCTTCTGTATCTCTTTCCAGACTTCAATATCCATTAAACTCTCTGCAGGCAGCTGTTGTCACCGATATCACTGATGGGTTTAATCCCCCGCTGTAGAGCTCTATTCTCCTGGACCCTGAACATCTCATGTCGGTTTGTGATGTTTCTGCTGCTCCTCTGTAAAAGGAGAGCTTCTTCACTTTCCTTGATGGTCTTTCTTCTCCAGGATGGAGACGTGTGAGGACCACATCAAGTTGTTTGAGAGAATGATCCTCAGGATCCCGTGTTCGTTGTTTTTATTCATTTTTATTTTTTCAGTTATTTACTTTAAAAGACAGTTTGAAGAGGTGAAGAGGACTAGTTAGTGGTCTGAGTGGAACCTGAAACTGATCCAGACCACAACTAACTAAGAAGGTGCAGTTTGTATTCTATCAGGGCAAAGTACTTCCTCTTAACAGGGCACTTTGAACTCTGACCCTCTAAATCTGTTTTGTGGCATAATAAATGAATATTGGAGCAGCTAATCAATGCTAATAGATAACGCAGTGGTGATCAGTTCATGCTTTGAATTCTTAAATAGAGCTGCAGTGTTCTAAAGAAACACAAGCCACAGAAGTCAAGTCTCTTCAGGGTTTTCATAGAAATACATAACATGACCTGTTAAACTATTAAACAAATCATTAAACAAAGTATTTAACAAAGTAGTAAGTACTTAAGCTTGTAACAGAGTATTAGTACTTTTACTGCAGTAAAGGATCTGAATACTTCCTTCATCACTGTGATGGAGGTCAAAGGTTCAGAGAAACCAGCTGATTTCAGTAAAGAGATTTTATAAAAAGTATCAACATCATCATCATCTTCACCATCATCATCGTCGTGGTTACATAAATGCTCTGAATAATCTGGAGGAACTTAATCTCCTTAAATCTGATTCTGGATCAGCAGGATTAACTGCACAGAACGAGGTTTTAATGAGGCGTTCAGGGGCCGTTTGCCAGAGCTCACGGTGTCCCTGAATGCACCACAGAACTTATTGGATAATAGTTTGTAGTTTTTAATTAGAAAGCTGATTTCTGATTATTTGTGAAATTTTAAACAAATAAATTGTGACATCATTTAGTTTTATTGTTTATCTGCGATTGTTCAAAATAAAATATTTATAAATAATGAAATAACAAAAAATAATAATAAAACAAAAAGATAAAATGAAGTAAAGCAACGTTGAAATTAAACAACAAAATATTTAAAATCATAAAATTATTAAACAACTAAATAAAATAGTTTGTCTCGTGTCAACGAATATTTTTAATGAATATCAGTAAGTAAATATTATTAATTGAATTATGTGTGTGTGTGTGTGTGTGTGTGTGTGTGGGTGTAGAAGAAGAAGAGGAGGAGGATTGATCGCACTACGATCGGAGAGCCGACGAACTTCATCCACCTCACACACATCGGATCAGGAGAGATGGCAGAAGGGCTGCAGCCGGTGAGACGCCACACCTGTCTGTCTGTCTGTTTACCTGTCTGTCTGTCTGT